CAATATCGAGAAGAAAGTTTTTCCAATCTGTTAAATTATTTTCTGACTCAGGCACTTTTAAACTATCATCGAAGTTAATACTTTCTGTAACTATACTTTTGATTTTTAATATTTTTTCAGAAATAGTGACATCTTTTAAAACCTACCAAAAATTTTCCACCGCTCATTTGTCTATATTGTCCAAATCTCCTTTCTAATGGGTCACTTTGAAATCTCGCAGTTAAAACAAAGTGATATCCATCATTAAGCAAGTCCTCGATCAACGAGGCATGACTATTAAATGTTCTTATTTGTGCTGCAGCTGTCTGAACACTTAAAGTAAACTTCTCTCAGTTTGGTATCTTTTGTGATTGCCAAACTTTAATCCAATGTGCCATTTCCCGAGGAAATTCAGGTTTTTTATCACCAGAAACGACTGTATTACCTAAAATATTACATGCTGAATACTGACATTTAGAATTTAATAAAACCCACCACTTGTTAAATAATGTAAGAAAATCTGCACTACTTTTAAGATCTGGAAACTATGAGTGAATCGCTGCTGATGTAGTTTCATCAAAAATTGCAAGTGCTAAAGAAACATTTTGTTTAAAATTGCCAGGATGTAACACTTTCATTGTTATTTTTGGTGCTTTACGCAAACCAGCATCAAGAGTGAGGTCTTTTTCATAAATATTGTGGAAGGTACTCCATTTAACTTCTCCCCCACATACAATTATAGGATCTTTAAATCCATTAAAGTTAAAATCTGGAAATAAAAATCTTTTGCAATTTAACAAATTATTTCTGATGTTTTTAATAAGATGTACAACATCAAAACAGAGGTAAATTTTTTTTAGATTGTAAATAAAAAACAAATCTTCAGCTTGTTGATTCGATGCACAAAGGATTTTTTTAAAACAAGAAACTTAGCAGAATGGTTGTCACACACAATAACTCTAACATTAAATTCACATTCAGCTAAAATACGAAGACATTCAAAAATTTCTTCTTTCAACCATTCAGCATTGATTTTTTTTTCAGGAGACGTTTTGATCACATATGGAATGTTTTGTTTCAGGCAAACTATCATAAAACAAACTATTCCCTTATACATTTCTCCAGACTCATCACTACCAATCATCTCTCCAGCAAAATACTCCTCACATTTTTGCAAGTACATTTCATCAAAAATCAAGCAAATTTCTTGAGATATCTTACCTTCTAATTTTAAACGTTTTGCACAACTTAGAGCATCAATATTTCCACTAGTTATTTTTTGAAGTAATGATAATGATGGTAAAGGCAATTCTTCACGCAAAAGTTGGTATGACTGCATAGAAGTATATCGTAATATCAGTGAATACCTTATAATATTGGCTGAATAAATAGGTTTTTTCATATATTTAATTTGCTGTAATTAAGTCAATACAGATGAAAATTGTTCGGCTTGTGATTTAATGTAGGTAGGAAAATTATGAAGCATACTTTTACAAGATAAACGACAATCTCTTCCTTGACAAAACCACTGATGTAATGGCAGAGGTGAACCTCTGTAAAAAAATTTAACATGCATCTCATTGTTTACACGAATGCACTCTGTAACCTCTGGAATAGATAAAGTACTATGACTCAATTTATAAAAAATTACATGATCATCATACTTCAAGAATGAAAAACCATCTGGAGCAAAACTTTCAGTAATATCGTTAAAGCTATTAATCAAATCATTCAATAAAAACTGTTCATATTGATCTGGGTGAAATATTCTTTTAGTTGGTGATTTTCTTAATGAATTAGAAGATTTTATAAGTTGTAATGAACCTTCTTCAGTCAAATTTGTGAAGTCAAAAATAGTTGGAATAGGCTTTAAATTTTTTATTAATCTAAAACTTTGATTCTTATTACCTTTCTTATAATATTTTTTTTCAAAATGTTTGATGCACATAACGGAAGAATGAGTAAGTGTCCAATCTTTTCTATTTACTAATTTAATCCAATATTTTTTTAACTCTTCATTTTTTGGAAACGAAAATACTACTGTAGATACTTCACCATAATTATGATAATTTGAACGACAATTTACGACGCAACATTTGTTAAGCATCTTTTTGAACTTCCAAAGCTGCTTTCTTAAAAACACTTTTCCAAAAAACTGGCCTTCTATTTTTTTTTCAAAATGTAAAATATCCGGCCGTATAAATAAAGTAGGCCATGTTCCAACTTTGAAAAAAAAAAAAAAAAATTAAATAAACACAGCGTAAATTTGCATCTGCTCGTGCCAAATATTGAGAATTGCTAAAAAAAATTATTATTGAAAAAAAAATTGCAAAAATTAGTGATTTAAGCCAGAACAGTTGCCAAAATTGCAAATGTTTTGCTAGTAGCGATAAGGATTTAGTTGTGGTTGGTTCTTATTTAGACTACAACAACATTGGTTCCTCTGAATTATTTTGTGGGTTTAAATTAAGTAATCCACAGAATATTTCAGTTAAAAAGCCAATAGTTAGTAAAAAATATACTTACATGAAGTTAGGAAATGGTAAACCTTATTCTAAGTTAGGTAGGCATGCTGCAGCTAGACGATCTAAACTTGCTTTTATATTCCTTCGATTATTAGCTTGTTCAGATTTAGAAAGTGATTTGTCTATGTTGTTTTGTGATTCTATGTCTTGTGAGAAGTCAATATTTTGTTATGTTGCAAATAAGTTGGGTTTAGTTAAGCAGTTAAGTGTTTTTGATGCTGTAGAGCTACAGAGCCAATTAAGGATGCCCACGGCTGAATTCCGTAGAATAAGACGTATTCTGTGTAATTTTGGTGCAAGAATTCTCCCATCTAAGCCCAAGATAAGACAAGAACAAGAAATGCGGACAATGCATGTCAATAAAGAACATGTCACTGTGAAGTCCATGTTACTTTATCCATCTGCGAATAAAGCATCTTGTTTAGTATCTGTACTGATAGTCAAGAATTTGACAACTTATATTGAAAAGGTTTTTACTAATCTTTATGTACGTGACCACCTTAATTCGGATGTCGGTTTTGGCAAAAAAGTAAGGCTCCTTTTTGCTGGTGATAAGGGTGGGAAGTATATGAAATTCCATTTTGAAGTTGTCAATTCTAAATCATCAGGGTCTGTATACAATGTTCACTTGTTTTGTATGTATCAGGGTTCAGACTGTCGTGAGAATATAGCCTTAGTTCTCGGGCATTTTGCCAATGACATTAAAAGAATTCAGTCGTCAGTTTTTAAGCTAAAAGGCAAAATAGTCAGATTGTTCTTAGGTGGAGATTTTCATTTTATCGATGATGTTCTGGGAAACCAGGCTTCAGCTGCTAGCTTTCCTTGTTCTACAGACCTAGTTAAGTTGAATTCTCTGAGAAACCATGCTTCTATGCCGCACACACCTGCTAATTGTAACATCTTGAGGAGGACAATACAATCTCTGGAAAGTGCTTTCAATGAGAACTTGTGTGAAAATAGACAAGGTGGAAACCTAAGAACTTTAGGTAAGTTTCATAACTCAATTATTTCTCCTGTGATTTTCCCCATAATAACTTTAGATAATGAAGTACCACCTGTTTTGCATATTAAGTTAGGAGTTGCGTTAAAACTGTATAAGTTAATGTTGAAGGAGTGTAAGACTTTAGATTGTCAAGCTGTTTCGTCTTTGTCGCATAATGAGAATGTGAGAACAAATGAATTGTGGGCTGCTAAAAGCGTTGAATGTTCTAAAACAGCAGAAGCTTTACGTTTAATAGGAAATCAATTTGTAGGCTTTGCAAATGTACAGGCGCATTGGTTAGCTTTTAATAAAAATATTTCTGAATTATCTCTAAACTCCTCCAATAAAAAAATAAACTGTAAACAGCAAGAAATGTGTGATAGTATTAGGTGTTTAACTACAAAATACGATTGTAACATTGATTGGGTGCAGTGTAGTACTTGCCAAAAATTGTTTCATCAATTTTGTAAAATTATTGGTGATTCGGAAAAGAGTGTATTGTGTGACATTGAGAAGTATGAGTGTTTAGCATGTCTTGGCCTTTAAATTTCTGAAAAAATTTCTTTTATATGCGCACAACAGGAACTTTTAGACGTTCAGTATATTCGATTGCAGATGGAGTGTGATGACCTAGAAAAAAATATATAAAAATAGCATAGGGCCTCATGAGAGGTGTCTTTACATGGTCCTTGAAGATATGAAGGTTGAGCGACAAGCTTACCATGGTAATGTATTTGTATGTAATCATTGCAAAATAGTATTAAGAAACCACTATAAACTTTGTATTGATATTGATGATGAAGCCATTGAAAATAGACTTGTACGTGTGTTTAGTGTTTTTAATAAGTTGCAACCTATTCTTTTAAAGCGAAAATTTCTTTCTGATGCCGAAATTACTGAGCTTCATCAATATATAAATTTATCTGTTATCGAGTTTCATGTTTGCTTTCCAAAAGAAAGTACCACGCAAAAAATGCATGAACTCATTTTTAATGTGCCACTTTTTGTAAAATTGCATAAAACTATTGAGTTGCTAAGTGAAGAGGAGGGAGAGTGTTTGCATAATAGCGTAAATAAGGAATTAAGAATGTTGCATTCAGTAAGAAATCAGGAGCAGAAGCTGCATCTTGTTTTAAAACGCTTTGAATTGCACAGCAAAACTGATAGGAAGCTTCAAGCCTCAAAGGTGAGAAAGTGTGATGTGTGTTCTGATCGTGGCGAAAATTCATTTTATAGACAAGGTCTTTGTCTTGTTTGTGGTCATCAAATTTAGTTAAAAAATTAAACAAATTAAAAACAACAACAACAAAAAAAAACTATGTACAAGTAAGATAAATTTTCTGAGATCTTTAATTTATATATAATATAATTTTATTCTGTTCTAATATCTGTGTAATGTTAGTTTAAAATATTATTTTTTAATATATTGATTGGTAGGTGCCCATTCTGTTCCTATCTTCAGAAGTTATTTACACCTATACAATACCTTCGCTCAGGTTAAAGAATGAACAACTAGTCTTGCATCAAATGTATGTAAAAATCTAGCTTTTATATATTAACTTGTGATCAGAGCAACTGGTATGTTGGTTGGGTATGATCTTGTATGTTTGTGTATTTAATTTAAAAAATGTATTGTCCTTCATTATATGTAACATTTCTTTTATAGATATATTACATATTCATTCGATGTTTATCACCAGAAGTTAGTTCTACCTTTGCAGTACCTCTGCTCTACATACCTCCTCGCTGGTTAAAGAATGGAATATAAATCTCATCAAGTTGGTGTAAAAATTTAGTTTAATAAATTAAGAATTTGTAAACGTTATCAAAATTTTGAGTGGAGCAATTGTTTTTCTGGTTTAGCATGAGTATGAATCTGATATCAATTGTATGTACAAAGATAGTTTACTTCTTAAAGAACCTATCAGTAAACTAACTTATTATAAAACAGTTTTTAATGGGAATAAAAACAAATTTTCAAAAGATTTCAATTAGCTATTTGTATATTCAAACACTTTATTTACTGAGAGAAGAGACTATAGATTCAAGTGCTATAAAATAATTCTACTACCAAAAGCGAGGTTAATTCAAAAACTTAAACTCAAATTTGGTCATGAATTATTTTATTAGACTTGCAGAGTCTTTATTTATTAACAACTTAACACCATATTATTAGAACTGTATGCACAGAAAAAAAAATAAATGCTAAAGCTTTAAATGTTTTGACTAAATATTCCAAAACCGAAATCTGGCTTTATTTTGCAATGCAATGAATTTATTGGCTTTGGAAAATAATATTCTAAAACAAGACTCCTAGGTTTAAAAATGTACTCTTTTAACAGCTAATCCCCCTTTTAACTTCATTTTTCATAACTTTGCGAAAAGTGCGGTTTGCTTTCAGACCTCAACAAAGTCTGTTTTAGCTATCCTTAAACAATTAAGTAAGGTTTTTTTTATTTTTTAATAGTCAAACAATGGGTATATTTGATAATAAATAAATTTTTCTGATTTTTTTTTGATAAAAAGTAACATCAAATTACTTAAATTCAGCCAACTTTATCATTTACTTCATCAGAAGTTATTTTACTAATGCATTAAACGTCGTAAGATGAAACATTTTATTGGTGTTTTTATTCTTTTTACAAAACAAAATTATCTTTAATATTTTAAAAATTATAGAAGTTTTAGTAACACCCCTTAAGTCAATATTTTCAAAAAATAATAAGAAGCCGTTAAGCTCGGTTTGAAACAGCCGTGGACGAACTACCAAAAGACCCAACGGAAATGACTACAGACAAAATAATAAACGAGATTGTTATGATGAGGAATGCACGAGAGATCCCCGAAAAAGTAGCCAACTTTATACTACCTAACACACCTAGCCGCACACCCCTATTCTACGGACTACGCAAAATACACAAACAAGGAATACCACTACGACCGATAGTATCTGGGTGCGACGGACCGACTGATAATCTCTCTGAATGTGGTAAAGTATCTGCAACCTATGGCAGAGACACTTCCCGGTTACTTCAGGGATACAACTCACTTGCTAAGACTACTATCTGACATCAAATCCCCAGGGAGCCCGATAACACTGATAACTGCCGACGTAACATCACTATATACTAACATACCACACCATGACGGAATCCAAACTATTGAAAACTTCATAACTGAAAATTTACGTACCATCAAATTCCCCTCAGAACTGCCACCCATCATACCGACTAGACATTTTTGCCATCTCATTGAACTGATTCTTAAGAACAGCTCTTTTATGTTTGGCGTCAGGGCGTTCCGCCAGAAATGTGGCACCTCCATGGGTACCAGAATGGCACCGCCTTACGCCGACATATTCATGAGCACTTTTGACGAGACAATACACAATAAATTTAAAAACGATATTTTACTATACAAAAAATTCATCGACGACATACTGATAATTTTTACTGGCACTACACAACAAACGGAAGAACTTATCACATATGCCAACAGCCTAAATAACGACATCAAATTTACATTCAACATCTCCGATGACAAGATCAACTTCATGGACATCCCTCTACAAATAAACAATAACAACAACACACTCACCTCAAAACTTTATAGAAAACCCACTGACATCCCTCCTAAATTATCACTCAAACCATCCCAGACACCAAAAGATAGGCATCATCTACAGCCAAGTACTACGACTCAACAGACTCATCTCCGACAAAGACGAAGTACACAAAGAACTCAAGAACCTCACAATTACGCTCATTACTAAAAACTATTCACTTAACGTCATTAACAATTACATTTCCATAGCTTTACTTAAAACCCAAACGGAACTAATAACATAACCGAAACAGCTAAAGTTACAAGAAACCAATGACAACACTTCCAATCAAATTCCCAGCATACTCCTAAACAAAAATAGGGAAAGAACAAGCACAAATGATCACAAAACACTGGACTATTATCAAAAACGACCCTGACCTGACCAAAATACTGCAACCTACACTACTTAAAGCACAATCCAACAACAAATCATTAAACGACCTACTTTTATCTACAAGACACATGCCCTACACACACAAAACTATAAATAAACGACCACTACGACCAACATCAAAAAATAACACGAATATTACGGCCCCCAACAAACTTAACTAGACAAAATGAATGAGAGGCATCGCATGAGAGATAATACGAGTAAAAAACGGTACATAATATGAAATAACTGCTGTATAATATGATTTTTCTATATATAAAAAAATATTTTTTATCATCACCTGGAAAAGCACACATAAAATAACTGTAAACATAAATTACTTGTAAATAGAAATATTTAAACCATATCATTGTATTTAGTGATAATAATATGGACACATTTAAATGATAAAACATCTCCCAATAAAATGGATACTTAACTGTTGCCGCCGTTTTTCAATGCGTTTAAGTTTTCGAGATCATCCAAATAAACCAAGGGATTGATAAATAAAAATAATTTAAAATGTCGTGTAAAAAAGCTGTCTTACTTATAGAATAAATATAATGTTTCAGAAAAAGAAAAAAAAATAACTTAAAAATAACTTAAAATCTCGTGTATAAAAGCTGCCTGACTAACTGAACGAATATCAATATAAAGTAAAAATATTTTGAAATTTTTTTTTTGACAAATACAAATTAGCCAAATTCATATAACGCGGTTTGTAGGGAAAAAAATAAAAATGGGAGCCTTATAAGTAACAAAAAAACCGTTTTAAGTCTGATTTTTATTGAAAGTTTTGTTTATATAAATTTCAAATCTTTTTAAATAAAAACAGTGGCTTAATTTAAAAGTCATATTGAAAATATGATTGATTGAGAAGCGAAAATGAGTTGTTAAAAGTAATTGGGTTTATATTAATTGTGAAATCTACTTATTAAGGTATTTTACTGAAAATGTTTATTTACGTTTAAAGTTATAAAATGTCAGATAATATTTATTTTTTAAATAAAATACAATGTATGATGTGGCTCAAAGAAACTGGGCAATCAGTATCAGGAACATTGGAAGAGTTGCGCCAAAGAATTCAAAAGTTTTCTTTGTATCTAAATTTAGTCAAACGATCGAGAGACAAAGCAAAAAAGAATTATACGTTTGAATGCAGTCTCAACCCATTATATATACCTCAAGTAACATCAAAATGGTCTTTTGATGAAACCTTGTACCCCCTTGTAAACGAGGAAACATTTTAAAAATATTGTTCATATAAAAAGCAGGGGAGTATTGGCTAACAGGAAAAAGCTGTTAGAATGCTACAAAGCAGGAAAATCGTTTCAGTGAAATCACTGCAGGATAATAATGTAATATATGTCCAAGAAATGATTAAAAAGTCGTATGGTACTGATATACGGTCTGCTGTTGTGTTATTTGAAAACATAACTTCTAAACGAGCATATTGTAGTTGAGATCACATCAACTTGAGAAAATTGATCAGAATCTTTCTGTTTTGGACGATTTAATGTTATTCCCTTCATTGCGCAAAACTCTTGTATTGAAAAACCTCTATCACTCATAATCTCATGATCTTTCTCTACAAACAGAATAGTATCGTATTTTTCTGTTAGATCTGAATCTGAGATAGAGCCTGGATATATATCACAAAATAATATGCCACCACCGTGTGGTGCTATTCCAATCAAAGCTTTTCCTGTTTGGGTAATCTTATAATTAGAAAACAACAAAGAATTTAGCTCAAAGTCTGAAGCACTTTGGAATTGAAACTCAGTTACATCAATAATTAAATCAGTGAGACCATGTCCAGTTTCAATAAAACTTTTTGGCATTTTTTTAATTAAAAAACCAGATTCTGGCTTTAAATCGATTTCATTGAGTATGATTGATAGAAATATAACCCATCCTATAAATATTCTTTGAGTAGTTGACTTTGATATATTTAAAATGTATGCCATAACTCCTTGATTGAGTCCATGTCGACATGTTGTAAGAGCAGATAACAGTTCAGCTGGTAAATCGATCAATCTTCTATTAGAGTTATTCTTGCAGTCAGGATATGGAATTAAGTGAGTATATGGTTCAACAGAATTGAAAAGTAAACTAAATTGTTCAACTGTGAGTCCACATAAGTTCTTAAAAACAATTGGCTGGTTAAGTAATTCAGAATTTTTATGTTTGTTGTAGATTTTATTTTGTGCTTGAAGCATTTCAATTTGATTTTTTGCTTTTATCAATTTTTTTTAAGATTTGATATCTTGAGTAGTGCTGAACTTAACTGTTTCTTATATTTCTTTTTTGAAGGCTCTTTTTGTATCGATGAGCATGGCAGAATGGTATCTATTTCAACACGATTGTTTTTGTTTGAAAGATCATTTAAGACTTCAGTTGCCGTTTCGAATTTTTGTTATGCAACTTTTAAACGACTTTTTATACTGTCACTAGGGTTTTTATATTTTACATATGTTTCCTTAGCTATGTTATATTTTTCTACTATTTTGTTATATTGATCTTTAGGAATAAAGATATCGGGTAACGACGTCCATTACTCCAATGAGCTGCACAAATGTGACCGTGACCCCAATTCATTCCAACTGCTTTAAAAAAAATTTGTATTCGTTCTGAATAGCTACTACACGTGGAAGGCGATAAAATCCTATTGGTTTTCCATTTGCGTCTTTAGAAGTGAAGTTGTTAAAACACATAGAAGAAGCACATGACCATTTCACCATTTTAAAATCTAGGATAGTTAAAGCTATTAATTCAAACTTTTCCCGGAATAAAAAACACAAACAGACCTTTTAGCTAAAAAAGTTGTGAATAAAACTACCATTTTTATTTTTTCCGATACAAATAGATCCAAATAGATCCTCTGACGTGAATACAAATACAAATAGATCCTCTGACATGAGTTTAGCTAATTATTGACAATTATTGGTTTCAAATAAAATTCGCGCATTACATATCAACATCGCTTAACAATACGGGCGGCTTTTTGAAAATGTCTAAAAAGCGTATACATTCATAATTTATTCAACTTTTTGCCGCATCATCTACTTT